TCGTAAGGCAACTTGCAAAGCTCCAAACATGGCCGTTGAGCCTTGAGCAACTAATTTGGAGACTGCCGCTTTAGCCTTGCGGATTACATCTGAATTTGCTGGGAAAGCACTTGGAAATGAAGCATTCTGAAAACGATTCAATATGAGTTTCTACAAAGCATAACAATTAGACTCACCTCTAACGGTACCGATGTTTGTCCAATGTGTTCATAATATCGACTGTTTGCACGTGGATACCACGTGCTTTTTTCTGGATTATCCAGGTCCCACACCTTTGTGTTGCTGTTAAATTCCACTAAACTGATCAAGTCACTTTCGTTCAGTTGATCGACAATGCTGTTCATCGCTTGAATAAGTTGCTGTATCTTTTGCCCCCACATGCTACCACTGGTGTCTAGCACAAAAACTACATGCTTCGGTAGAGGGTCTAATTCTTTCGGGGCGAAGAAATGTACAAAGTATCCATCTTCAATCAGAACCTCTCCACCACTCGGATCTCGCTCAACATCGTACTGCACTACAAATTGTCCAGAAAGACCGTTCTCTTCTTTCGTTCCGAGTACACGTGCGAACTCCTTTTGCCGTTCGACATTTGGACTAAACTTGACAACTGCCGCGGTATCATTGAATATTTCTATATCGGCTCTTGGATCGAGTTCTGGCTTGTCGGTCCCGATTTCGTTTCCTGAACGTAGAGGTGGCGCCTTTAAGTCGGTAATTTTCCTACTTTCCGCAATTACAACTTCGACACTAAGATCTTTAACGGGCTGGCCCGGATGGATATTAATAACCTGCTCGTAGTGACTGTCTTTACGATCCAAAAGCTGCTCGTATGTCAAGTAGAAGACTGCCTTTGACTCTGGTTGGATATTTACGGATACCACGAATCGATTGGAATCACGCGCGCTGACTGCCACATGGGCCGCACCCATACCACTCGCTACCGCCTAAATTGCGTTTATTTACAAAAATGTCACTGATACGAATGTTCCTCTTACCTGGTCATAAACGCGCTTAGCCTCCTCTTTCTCCTTAACGTAAGCTGTATAATTTTTTCCATCAATTTCCATAATAAAACCGGAAATGAAGGCGGTTTCTGGTAGGATTACTGAGAAGACGGCCTCCTGAGGATTGTCTGCCGAATTTCTAACTCTGCTTACGATAGTTGTATGGGCGAAGCGATTGCGGATACTAGATGTGATGCGCATTTGATAGATCTCGGGGACGGTCGTATTCGGAGTATTTTTGCCCTAGGAAAGTACCGTACAACTATGCGCCGAGCCAAAGACGAAGAAATAAATACCTCTTTATCACCACCCTCATAAGAAGAACTCACAACTAGAGCTCCATTAATGTGTGACACCATGGCACACAACCATATTGTCGCGATAAGCAGCATTCTGGCTTTTGGATGATCTTAAAAATGATTCTTAAAAAAAAGGTATATCACTTAAAGCTATACTATTTCAAACACAAGTAAACTATCCCAAGTGACGATGGTATGGAATGAGTCTAACTGTAAAAGGTCTTACCGTTGCCGAAGAATCTTAATTTTCACAGTGAAACAACTAACTGAGTATAAACTTCATTTAAGGAAGGTTTAATTTATATTCTAATTATCCCACCATAATTACTAAAAGTATGCACGCAAGCTTGATTACAAGAAATGAATAGTGTAATCGGTTATCAATTTAAATGTAATTACCCAACAAAATCTTGGAATGAAATAAATTTAGCCAAACCTACAGTGAATGTTATTGAAAAGCGACTTATCTATACCAGTCAGTTTATTTATAAAACTGTTTATAGAAGACGACACATGTTTGATATTGATAATATAATTAGTACGAATTAATGAATTTTTGCTTAACGTTTACGTACTTTTCAGTAAATTTTGGAAACCGTGCGTACTTACTACTTAGGTTCTTGTATTCTGGTTTTCCCTTCGGATCAATGCTTTACGATAAAATTAGCATCTTTTATAATACATACTTTTTGAACAAGGTTCATTTTCCTGGACTCTGAAAATTCTCCATCTCTTAACGTCCAGAATGATGTATACCTCGCATTTGGGAATTTTTCATAGACAAATTACCTTTTTATTGTCTATGGGGATTATGTAACTGCGAGGTATGCAAAATGTCAACATTCATTCTTATCGATGCTTAGTGAACTATAACACAATGCATTCTGTTTCTTTACACTATGCTTAAATATGAGTTTTGAAGACAATTTTTTGTGTCATTTAGCAGTAGCAACAAATTCATTCATACCTATTTTGTGCTAATTTTGGAGACATAAATGATACCGAATCAATGTTCTGGAATTCCCAATAATAACAATTTTGTTTGGGTGATTTCAGTGTAATGTGTAATGTATTTTTTTAAATGCTTTGTGTACAGAAGAACATTAAAGTTCACAACTGCATATTTTTTTCAAAAATTGTAATGCTGCGCTAGTTTAATTTGTTCAATATGATTGCAACAAACGGATCTAATGAATTTGCTAGTGAATAGATACTTCTACTCGATTAGAATTAGTTGCTGTTAACAGATACAGTCTTCTAACATTTGAAAATGAAGGAATGAACAGTATAGAAGATTCAAAAATGTTTAGATCAACCAAATGGAACATTTTTAAGGCAACTAAAACAAAGATTCGTGTACCTATTCATCTGTTAAAACTAGAATCATTTTTTGCGTTTATTGGGAACGGTTTGACCTATTGTTTGAAATGTATACACCTCCTATCACCATATAATCAGTACCTACACGTATTTTCTAGTACTAAAATTAACGTGAATGTGAAATAGACACGACACGTATTTTATTTCAACGTATTCAGGAGGCGACGCTGGTCCATCCGAATAAGATTACATAAAAATGGAGCGAAATTTGGACCCATTCAAGACACTTTACCGTGTTTTTCCATCGTTCATTTTTTATACCTTCATTTTAGACAAACTGGTAGCACTTACTTCATCATACATCTCTTAAATTTTACATTTTGTTTTTTTTTTATAATCGTGTCATTTTAATCCTGCAATTGTGTCTTGTTTGTCTCTTATATGTAGGTATAGTGTCGTATATTATTTATGTTAAATTTATATACAAACCCTGACAAGTGTAAAGACTGTACGGTCTCTCAGCACAATAAATCAATCAATCAATCAATCAATCATACAGTATAATCGAAGGTATTTGCTGGAAACAATGAATATTGCATTTTTGTGTAAGAATTCTTACAGTGTGTGTTTTATTTACTATCTGATACCTCTAACGCCCATTTTGGAGGTATACCATTGCCGTAATATTAACATCAGTGCATACTTATTACACAAAGGGATCAAATATTTTTACTATTGCATAAAGATTTATGCTTTGTAATACTTTAACTTGAACCGAGTACAAAAATATCACTTTTGGAATCCCTTGTTAAAATTGTTTTGATTGGCTTCAGCAATAGGGAGGTCTCATACTTCTGTTTTACTTATAATTCGGAAGGCTTAATTACTCACTAACACGTGGCACAAGTAAAAAAATTGGAAAAATTAATTAGCGGAGTAATGGGCAAAATCATTTCGTGATTAGAAGATTTGAAAGAGGCTACCTCGGGACTAGGCTAGCGTTGTGACTTCAGCTGCACTCTAAACTCAGGCAAGTTCTGGATTTTTATTTTTATTTCTTTAAAAATGCACCGATTTTGATGAAATTTTTATGAGACGTTCTCTAAGCATCGATTTTGGAAAAATGACTTCTGGAAAGCGTTGCCGTCGAGATGCTCGTCGAGACCGTTCGATGCAGAGTGTCGAAGTTGAATCCGGCGACCTCGAGATTTGGTTCCAAAAGATTGTTCATAAATGGTTTGCGGTTTGCGAAAGTTTCGAAATAGTATAAGTAGGTACCTACTGTGTATTGTTGCGAGGATTATTTTGATGTGAGCTTCTATTTCATTTTATTGAATATTGAAGTAGGTATATGGGAACATTTTTCAGTTAACCGAGGATGTGGAAAATTACATTTGAGCAAAGTAAATGCCAGACTGGAGCCATATATAGTGCCGCGTTTATTTTCTTGTCAAGCCGATAAGAAGTTCACTGCAATTAATTTTGTAGACATAAATAACACCTAATCAATATTAGCTGGTTCAATTATAAATAAAAACAGATTTTCTAGATCTGACTCTATAATGCTCTAGAAGCTTTTCTTTTCCTATATAAGCGAATTTAATGGTGTTTGGTAGAATTAAGTTCCAAACTCGATGCCGAGAGTGATAAATAGCGAAATTTGTGCCTGTGTTATAAAATTGAGTACCTACAAGTGATAAATAATAAATTAATTGTTCTAAATCAATCTATTTAAGAACCGTTATAAATTCGTACATACATGAATCGGGTAATTAAATGTACGTTACGTCATTCACCCCCAAGGGAATTCGCGAGCTAATTGTAAACTACTCTTTCATTATATTCTAGAAACAATCAATCATGAGCTATATATTTTAAAAATCCTACTTCATTTCTCCTCTCTATCCGGTTTACGAGATCAACCCTTACGGCAAAATTTTGAAATGGCACTCGCTCTCAATAAAAGCGAGAATTTTGATTGATCCAATGTTGTGTTAAACCTGCAAGAGAGAGACAGAGAGGACGAAGGAGAACCGTAAAATACCGGTCCTTTGGCATTAATAACGGTACCGGTATCGGTTCCCGTTGATAAATGCAATCGGTTCCGGTTCTTTTCAGTTCTACACCAACTCCTGGCCCGTTTAATAATGACTATTTTCATTTATAAGTACGAAAATAAATCTCGCACTAGCATTAAAAAATAAAGTCCTCAATTTATCACATTATTTTTACCAACAAAAGATCTTCAAACTTTGCCAGAGAAAATGTATTTTAAAAACTACGCAACCACATCTCTACAATCAACAACTTTATCAATGAGGTATCGAAGAGATTGAAAGACGTTTCTTTCATAACGCCAATTAAAACCGTTAAATAGATTTAAACTTTAATGAATAAAAAATATATAAAACAGTAGAGCTTATATTTTTTTTTCTTCAGGAAACATGCCGAACACTTTACGTGGGGCAGCAAACACCAGCAAACCTGAAATAAAGACGAATTAGCAAAACTGGATAATATTGGATATTATGAACTCGTACTCGTTTTTCAAGACACAGAAGTGATCATAGAAATCAGTCACCGTTGGAAGTACTGCTTGATGGCAATTGTGAAGTAACTTGCACTGTCCAGGTTGGTTATTGGTTGCTTTTGGACATGCTACATAGGGAATGGTTTCATTGAGTCCCAACTTGTACGACCCTAAATTTGAAGATTAGTAAATTTGTGTTTAACTGATTAATGAGCTACTAACCTATAGGTGTCTTTACCATCCCGTCCTGAAGAATGTTGGCCAGCCAGGAGAAAGTTTGTAGCAGACTGCTTAACAGCACCTCGGAGGGATCCAGGGAGGGAGCTAAAGATTCTGTTAATATTAGATGTGCTGTGTGCACAGCTGGGATGATTACTCAAAAAAAGTAATCGAATACATTTATACATTTTATACATTTAATTACAGTAATTGATTAGGTACTTCAGAAAATTGGTATTCAATTACTGATTACAATTGTAATCGTTTACTTTAGCATTGTAAGTACAATGACTTTTATTTTTTAATTTAGGTAGATCTTACACGTATCCATATTGTTTAAAGTTCGTTGGATTGCATTGTTATTTTAAAGATGTTTCGATAAAACCAGATATTCCATAAGCAAGTTAAAGATCTATAGTAACCGAGCACTTGGAAGTACAATTTGGAATATAATATGTAGGTATACATGCTTCACCGAATTTTTACTAAAGATGGGCGAAATTGCAAAGTAGTTCATCCACCAATAGAATCAAAACAAATAAGTACAACAAACGCAGAGGTAGATAACCAAATTGCTCCATTGTAATCATTGTTACCTTAGTATTCGTGATTACTTTTGTATTCATATGATTGCCATATGATTACTAATTACGATTAGGTACTATTGAGAAAAGCAATTAAATTACAATACTAATTACAGTAGGTACTTAGTTACTGATTACGGATTACACAGAAAGTAATTAAATACTGTAATTAATTACAATTGTAATCGATTACTTCCTAGCTCTGGCTGTGGGAGTGAACTGTTAATAAATTCTTTGTGAACAATGAAAGAAAAATGTTTCTTACACGGACCAATTGAAATTGGTTCAGGAAGTGCAAGTGGCAGCGTGTCGTGACGATAGCCGGGTGGTCCTGGCCGTCCTGCTGACATCCCATAATGAGAACCAAAACCTGGTGGTCCTGCTATGCCTGGTAGACCAGGTAGTCCTATTGGTACTCCTGCTTGCATACCGTAATGCGCAGTGCCTCCAAAACCTACTAGAAATGTTAAGCAAAAAAGAGAAGTATAAGACTCACCTGAGAACGTTGGCCGGCGTTTAGCTTCCTCCGCGTCTACAGCTTGGGTGTCATTCGGTTTTACGACAACTAACGAGCTGACCGGTGTCACAAAGTTGTATTTCAGTGCCAAATCTAACGCCTCCATTTTCAATTGATTTTCATCTCCTTCTGTAGCTTCTTTCTTCTCCAGTAATTGCCTGATGCTCAAATACGCCCAAATTCGTTCCATGTAAGACGTCGTCGTTGTAGTTACAATGGGTTTGAGAGTGATTGGCCCCCGTATCCCCAAGCCTTCAATAGTCGGCATCGGGAATCGGGCAGTACAGATACCTGCAACTACAATTTCTGAACCCCCAAAGTATATTGGGAATACAGTTTTGGTAACGTTTGTTGCTGTGGTGGACTCATATTTGAATTTGACGTTGGATAACAATGGAGACGAAACTAATCTGTAAAAATCTTCAAGCTGTAAAGAGGCGTCGCCGGCTTCGTAAATGCGTTTTGAAAATCCTGAATTGCGAGAGGATAATTTTTGTAAAAACTCCCTATCTGCACCGTCACCAAAGGATAAAGCGAAAATCGGCGCCCTTCTAGCTTCCGAGTTAAATTCGGTGATCTACAAAAACCACAGTTTTAATGGTTTCTGCTTAGAATTATGATACCTTGGTAGTTAAATCGTTCGGGCTGGCATCTGTAGGTTCTCCATCGGTCAAAAATATTATTATTGGTTGACGTTTGACATCGTTAGCTTCGTCTTGCCTCTTTCTCTCCAATTCCACTAACCGTAAAGCAACTTGTAGGCCACCGTACATGGCCGTAGTGCCATCGGCGTTCATACTGGAAACTGCTAACTTTGCTTTACTAATGATTTCGGCATTAACCGGAAAGGCATCTGGGAACGTTGCATTCTGAAATTAATTATACTATAATAATTGATACTAAACATATCCTAGAAGTTTACATCTAACGTCACAAGTGTGTTCACATCATGATCGTAATACATTCTGTGCGAACGAGGGTACCAAGTACTTTTTTCTGGATTATTCAAATCCCACACCTTTGTGTTACTGCTAAATTCTACTAAACTTATCAGGTCAGTTTCGTGCAATTGATCGACAATGCTATGCATCGCTTGAATGAGCTGCTGTATCTTTTGACCCCACATGCTGCCACTTGTGTCTAATACAAAAACTACGTGTTTTGGTAGAGGCTCCAAGTCCTTAGGTGCAAAAAAGTGGACAAAGTATCCATCTTGAATCAGAACTTCACCTCCACTCGGATCCCTTTCAACGTCGTATTGCACTACAAACTGCCCAGACAGACCTTCTTCCTCTTTCGTTCCAAATACATGCGCCAGCTCCTTTTGCCGTTCCACATTTGGACTAAACGTCACCACGGCTGCGGTATCATTGACGATTTCTATGTCTGCTCTGGGATCCAGTTCCGGTTTGTCCGTACCAATTTCGTTTCCGGAACGTAGAGGCGGTGCTTTTAAGTCTGTTATTTTTCTGCTTTCAGCAATTACGACTTCAACACTAAGATCTTTGACAGCTTGACCAGGATGGATGTTAATAATCTGCTCGTAACGGCTGTCTTTTCGACCCAAAAGCTGTTCGTATGTCAAGTAAAAGACGGCTTTCGACTCCGGCTCGATATTTACAGATACCACGAACCTGTTCGAATCACGTGCACTCACCGCCACATGTGCTGCACCTGCTCCGCTTGCTACTGCCTAAGTGGAATACTTTTGTTAAAAAAACGCTACCATGTTGGAAGATTTACCTGTTCATAGACGCGCTTAGCTTCCTCCTTCTCTTTAACATACGCCGTGTAATTTTTGCCATCGATTTCCATAACAAATCCCGAAATGTACGCAGCTTCCGGCAGCACAACGGAAAATACCGCCTCCTGAGGTTTATCGACGGAATTTCTAACTCTACTTGTAACTGTTGTGTGAGCAAAACGGTTGCGAATATTAGACGTGATTCGCATTTGGTATATCTCTGGAATGGAGGTGGTTGGGGTGCCTTTGCCCTAAAATTCGTTGCTATGTATGTTTCATACCGAGATCCTTTCGTTTGCTTACCTCTTTATCGTGTTTTTCAGTACTCACAACCAAGGCTCCATTTACTGCGGCAGCTAAATATGCCACCAAAATCAAAAACGCTTTTGCTGTGGGAGGCTCCATCCTGATATGGGGAGATAAACCAACGTCAGAAAACCAATGGAAGTAAGAGTTTTCCGATTTACTACGGTTATTTTTTTGGAGGTGAATATCTAATTATACCAAGTCAAACTTTTTTTTTAAAAACGTCTTAAGGTTTTTGAAATTATGAACCAAACGGCTGAAGATGCATATGGGCATAAAGTGGAGTGGGGTAGTTGAAGCATTTGCTAACATCGACAAAGCCGAATGGCTATTGAGTGTCTATTGGAAAGTTTAAGACCTACAATTACATGCGCTTACCTCTTAGTTTTCACAACTTTGTATTTTATATATAACAAAGCCTTATTTATTATAATTTCCCCACCATACCGACATATAAAGTACGCAACTAGGTTAATGAGAAATCTTGTATCTATGCATTTGATTTTCGTGGTACTGTGTGACCTTTTATCGGTCTAAAATTATCGTAGGTTAATACTAATGAAATGATTGAAGTTTCCAAAAAAAGGCGCTGTGACGCAATACGATAATTTGTTCAATAATAAAAGTTATTTACAAACATATTTGCGGGGGTATTCATTTACTGAAAGCGACTGAAATTTTGGAAGAGGTTTTGAAGAAATGCAAATCTTCGTGCTCAGGCTAATTGGCTACACTTATTATATTAGAATTGATATTGCTAACTGAATCGGGTCAATAGGTATGGCTATGAAATAAAAAAATTAAAAAAATCAACCTCAATGCCAACCTCCATTTGCTAACTTGACACCACTGAAGGGGTAAACAGCACGTCCTCAAAAGCAATTAGCGCTTTGGCGCGCACGTATAATTAATTGAATTCACAACTGCCTTGTTTTCCAGGTTGCTATGGATATATGGTTTCCGTAGCAACTTTCCACAGAGAAGTAGGATGACTCTAAAACAATAAAAATAAATTTGTTAGGTACATGCTACGTTATAAGTTGTGATTTAATATGTACTTTACCTTTATGTTAATAAACTTACTCACCGTCAGAACTTTGTCTATTCAGCGTAACAGAATTTCCAAAACGGGGTTGGTGAGCTCCATTTTGAATTATAAAGGTTCAAAAGTGGTGTTGGCCAGCTTCATTTTCATTAAAGATCACACATGAAAACCTTGTAACCTTTTCTAACGACTAGAGGGTGGTTTGTGTAATGGGTGAAAATATTTTCATTGCACATAAGTAATGTTTTTTGGCGTGAAGGAATAAAATTTTTTAATTAACTATATATAATGTATATTAGGTTTTGTAAACGTATCATTTGTTGTAATTTTAAATTTAGAATAGACGGGATGTACTTTGGCCGAAGAAAGATGTAAATGAGATGGTAATTTTATCCATGCGAATTAAGTCGTTGTGGAACTCGCATTGTAAGCGCATGTTTTTAACGCGTATTTTAAAAATTTAGAATTGTTTAGATAGTTTAGGTTTAGGTTTTTTTTAGGTTCAGCGTAACTGTAATTTATGGCTTTATTTGTGTTTTTAAGTAAAATAAATGCATTAAAATTCATGTAATTTTACAGTCGTAATTATTACCAAGATTAAGCTTTACTAACAGGAACAAAATGTTCTGAAATTCAAACGTACACCGAATTATGAAAATTGCGTAATTCCTCCAGATATATTATAGTATCAATTTCGGTAGTAAAATCTTGCCCAAATTTTGATTATTATCTGTAGAAATTAATGAAGTATCTGTGAAGACCAAATTTAACTAATTATTCCCTATTATTTACCCATTTATTTACCTGAGCTAGCTGGAAGTTTAAAAGTATAATTAAGGTAAGTTCCGAAATACACCGACATCGACGCTGAGAAACAAAGCAGAAGAAGAATATACACGGCAAATCATCGATAGTTTGTAACTGTCCGTTACATTTGTCTTGGGTAGCGTCGCGATCAGTGGATTGGACTACTAGTTCAAAAGTTACAGCCCTTTGAATTTTCTTTCGAAATTGGTTTCTAAGTAGTCTATAACTTTTGATTGAGAAGTCTGATCGAAAAAGTACGAATTGTTTTGGATTCTACGCACCAAAATTAATAAGAAAAAGTGTTTTCCCGAGGAATTTTGGTGCAGTCGATTTTTGGTAAAAAAGGAAGGTTATACACTGCCTTTTTTTGAGCCCCGAAGAAAAAATTGTCTCAGATCGACCCGGAAAAAAATTTTTCTTATAGAATGTGGCCTGTAGAATCCATAATTTCAAACAGTTCCAAGATTGGGCTACTAGTTCAAAAGTTACAGCCCTTTGAATTTTCTTTCGAAAATGGTTTCTAGTCTATAACTTTTGATTGAGAAGTCTGATCGAAAAAGTACGAATTGTTTTGGATTCTACGCACCAAAATTAATAAGAAAAGATGTTTTCCCGAGAAATTTTGGTGCAGTCGATTTTTGGTAAAAAAAGAAGGTTATGCACTGCTTTTTTTTAGAGCCCCGAAAAAAAATTGTCTTAGATCGCCCCGGAAAAAAAATTTTCTTATAGAATGTGGCCTGTAGAATCCATAATTTCAAACAGTTCCAATCGATATAAAACGAGAGAAGTTTGTTCACCATTTATCCCCAATGACTTAAATTCGTCACTAATACTACTACTTTTTACAGAAATTTCAGAGACTGTTCAGATATCCGTCCGTGATCCTTAAAAGTCCTTTAAAAATTGTTGAGATGTCTGGAAGATGTTTCATGGGGATTTTCTGTAGATTCTTTAGCGATTCTATGGTATTTTCTATACCATCTGCTACAAGTTTATGGTGTACCTAAATATCTACAAGCAGAGACCGACGCTGCTGTCAGAACCCGGATTCGAAACTGCGGCCCCTTTTACTTGTTGCCGGGCTTCTAATCCACTAGACCACACTCATTAGTAAGCCAAGGTGCATTCTTTCTAAAGATTAAGAGACCACTCACCACTATAATATAATCCCTAAAAAGAACTCAAAGATTATAATATAATAAATTTCCTAGTATTTCCTTCACATTGTTTGCTCTAAATTTCTAAGTCTTTCATATTATCTCTAAAAGGTTAAAACGATCTGGAAGAATCTCGAGAATAATTTAGGATGATTTGTCTCTGAAAAACCTGTAAAGTTAACCTTTGAGTAGCGCAATAATCTGCCATGAATCAATAAAAGTCCTGACTAATCTGCACAAAATGTGAAAAATCGCAGAGGAGTCTAAAGTATCCTTGAATAGCCTCTGAAAAACCTCTTAATGTTGTCTAAAAATCCTAAATTCTGTTCGTCAAGTCTATTAAAAATGTAAAAAAAATGGAGTCATTTAAGAAAGGTAATTGCGAAATTATCTCAAAATTTTTCTTATGCCGCTTTACCAAGCCTAGCCACTTTAGTGCCGGATTCCGCATTTGGATACAGTACCCGTTAGCGAGTATCTACCCACTAGGCCAAGCTCGTACCATCAAATTGCATTCCGCTAGAAGGAAAAAATAGCTAATATATGCAAAAGTTCGAGGCTGGAGAGGATTTTCATTTTCACAGCGTCAGAGGTACAAAAGAAATCCAATTGTAGAGCACCGATCTTAGACGTGAAGTTTCATTCTAAAAATGTGAGTACCTCCAAAACTCAAGGAGCACCAAATTACGGAGAAAATCCTTTAACGAAATTTCGAAATAAATTTAAATGCAAATTAAGAGCTACCGCTACAGTACCCCCTTCTGTTTTTAAAAGCAAAGAAAACCTGATGTGATTCGATTAACAACAAAAAAAGAAACGGGGGCTCTTCCAAAATTAAGAATTTGGTCCCCATCAAAAAATCTAAAATTCTAAAGCAAGCAAAATCCTAAACCTACTCAAAAACCTACCAACCTAATAAAAATTCAAAACCTTAAACCTATTCATCATAAAGGGTGTTGAGAGACTCAGAACTTCTTCGTCCTTGGTAGTTCCTAAGTTGATTTATCGTGTGGACTCGTGAATGAGGAGACAGTGAACCCACTAATTGGGCTTCTCTAATAGGTGGTTGAAGATGATTTGTTTTGTTGACCCAGTACCAAACATAGGCGCTATATCTCCATAATTTGGCTTAGTAGAGGTTCTGTGGTAGAGGCGTGGGGTAGCCGTAATCGAATCGTTACATTTTTCAACAGTAATATCCCAAGTGCATAAAAATAGCCGACTAAATTTTGAAGTTTTCGTCAAATGTTTTGCTTAGAAGTACGTCGAGTCAATTTGCCACGTAATAAAATCCCGAGTCTTGCCCCAGATCGCTTAGTATTAGCTAAGGCGTCATACCAACCCAAAAATCAGGCAAAGCCATTCCTGTGAGCATCACCTAGGCGATAGAATAACAAGCAGCAATTTTGGTAACCTCTTGCAATCAAAACGTTTTTGTTCTTATGGTTGAGTGTTATTAATTAGTACACGCCCATACAGACTTTCAAAATTTAAATATTTGCCAATATGCACCTAAGAAAAAGAGGTTCATTAATTTTAATTCTTGTGAAACTTGATGTCGGGACTTTCCAAAGATACGGCAATTAATCAAGGTTTTAAGAGTTACCTATAAAATGTAAGTTCAGATTGCTACATTAAGTTCTCTGAGTGGATCCTTCAAATTCGATCACAATGCACCTTTAGGTTTTCTCAATTAATGTAAACCCTAAGATTAGCGTTTATTTTGTTATGTAAGAGATTTTCATCTTAATTCGAAGATAAATTGTAATTAATTAGTTATGAAACGCAAAATTTCTTATCTTAATCTGTGTGTGCTTCCTAAAACCTTCTCATAAATGCAGAGGTGCGACATTTTTTCCTAATCATTTAATAAATAAGATTAAAAAGGGATTAGAATTTAGTAGTGAAAATTCTGTATGGTATTCGGGAGAAACGCGACGAAGGGTATGTAAAGTATGAGATTTTCTCTAAATTGATATTGATATAGATATTGGAAAAAAATTAAACGAGATGGCTATGAGCAAGGGAAGTTGAAAATATAGAAATGCGCCCTCGATTTTTAAAATCGAAAAAGTTCCACGCCCTTGCGAATTAATTACACAAAAATATTCTTTGGAAGAAAGCGCTTAAAACGGTTAAATGGGACATGAAACGAAATTTAAAACATCTAAAGCATAAATTACTTTAACCTTTAAAATTTTGCTTAAAAACGCGAGTGGAAAAGGTTAACGATAAAAACGAAATGTAACGTGCGACGACGTATTGACCGAATGGGATGAAGACTGCTCCCGGTTTTATATAACCGAACGGTGGAATTGTATTCCTGTTTATTACGCGCG